CTCAGAGCCTCCTAAGGAAAAAGGTCCAGGTCTTAGTGATCTTTTTATCTACCCTGGTGCCTGGCAAGCAACAAACAAATGTCATCAGCAGAAAGCCAGTCTCAGCTGAGATCATGAGAGCCCAGGAAGCAGTTATATCAGGGGTGTCAACCTGGGTCACAGCAGGCCCAGGCCCCCGGCAGCTGAGCTACCCTATATGGGAAAGGAAGAACTAAAGCCAAACTTCAACTGCCCTTCCAGAGCCTGAGCTCATTACCGAGAACCTCTGTCTGTCCCTTCTCCTGCAAAGAGAAGGACACAGGTGCCAGAGGAGCATGGGGTGGGGACAAGAAGGTCAGACATAGGCCTATGGCGGTTTGATCTGTTCCATACCTAGGATGCGGACTGGGGTCTGCTCAGCATTCACCTTCCGGGGCTACCTGGAGCAATCCTGTGGGGAGCTGTGGGCTGTCCCCGTAGACTTCTGAGATGTCTGTCTTTATATCTGCAGGAAGATGTCGGAGCCCCAATCTTTTCCCTGGGAGAGGCTTCCCTAGATGGTGGGAGCCTTGGCCTGGGCCACTGTGGGTGTGACGAAGTTGAAGGTCCTGGTTCTGTGATGGCATAGGGGCACACAGAGTAACTTTCTGCCTTTCAGGGAGCACAGCGCAGTTCCACAGCAGGACACCTGAGCAGCCAGAAGCTAGAAAGATGCAAGCCCGCCTCCAAGTGGTCACATGTCATAACTGCAGCCCACAACCCAGACCCTCCAGGCAGAGGTGCCCGGGCAACATTGACTATGGGAGGCCAGGCAGCCACCATCATCTGGCTCTGAAGATTCCATGTGCTCAGGTGAAAGAGAAGTGCCGGTTCTACATGAGCAAAGGAGCATCAAAGTGTCACACACCCATGCATTCAAACTTCCACCTTTTCTCATGGTTTTAGAAATAAGGATGCATAGGCCGGGTGTGGTGGCTCACGCCTGTAATCCCAGCACTGTGCGGGGCCGAGGCAGGCGGACTACCTGAGGTCAGGAGTTCGAGACCAGCCTGGCCAACATGGTGAAACCTCATCTCTACTAAAAATACAAAAAATAGCCGGGCATGGTGGCACTCGCCTATGATCCTAGCTACTTGGGAGTCTGAGGCAGGAGAAATGCTTGATTCGGTGGAGGTTGCAGTCAGCCAAGATCACACCATTGCACTCCAGCCTAGGTGACAAGGGTGAAACTCCGTCTCAAAAAAAAAAAAAAAAGAAAAAAGAAAAAAGGATGCATGTTCAGTGAGTTCTAATAACCTACTCCATTTAGTTTATAAGCACTAGTCTTGGGCCAAAAGTCATGTCCACCTGATGCTGGGATTCCACCTCAATCAAATGAGGCAATTGGACTGTACTGCAGCTAACTGCTACTTACACATCAGAGTTACCCAACATATTTATCTATCCCCTTGACCCAGGCTGACTGCATCAGCATCCCTGGGTGTGGGCTGGGAATGTGTCTTTTCAGCACACTTCCCCAGCAGGATAAAAGTGCATCTGTAAACTGAGAGCAGGAAACCAGGGGGCAAGACTGTCAACTCATGAAGTCAGGGACATGTTTAATTCATTTGTGAATCCCCTAGTACTGGCACACAGAAAGCGTCCCATATTATTTGCAAAATGAATGAACGAATAAATGAGCAAGTAGGTGGATGGATGATGCTGAGGTCTCCTCCAGCTTTGACAGCCTACGACCGTGTGACTCCTGCATGTGCATGAACACACAGACACAGACACTACACACACGCACAGACACACACACACACTTGAAGCGAAGAGGGATGAAGCCTGCCACACTGCAGGTGGTCCTAGCTGCCTGACCTCCCTTCTTCACACACTGACACACCTCCGTCTTTGTTGACCTGTATTTATTGTGCACCCATTGGGTGCATGGCCTAGCCCCAGGACCTGGCCGGAGACCCAAACATGGCCTCCAAGGGCCAGCCTTCCTTTGTGGAGGTCCAGGCCCCAGAGCTGATTACAACAAGCATGGGAAGGGAGGAGGGTGGCCCAGCAGGAAGGCTAGGGAGGCAGTGCGTCAGCCGGCAGGCAGCAGTGGGTAGCAGAGGCCCCCTCTTGGCGGGCAGCCTACTTGCACACTTGGCTGAACAGAGACAATGGTGGCTGCTCCCTCCGGCCCAGCCTCCTTCCTACAGGCAGAGCCCCAAGTCCATGAGTCTCCGGAACCTCCCTCAGAGAACAAGTCCAGCTGGGAGGCAGCCAGAGGGCAGGACGAGGGGATTTCCCAGGGGAGAGCAGCAGAGACCCTCTGAGCTGCCAGAGATGGGGAAGGGGTCCAGGCACCCCACAGGAAGGAAGCTTTAAGGCATGTGTAGGAAGGAGCACAGAAGAGTCTCCCAAGCCTGGCCTGGGCCTCACCTGGTCTCCAGCCTCCATCCCATCCCTCACAACTCTCCTGAGCCGTGGCTCCTGCCAGGCAGACCCCTAAGGGAAACTGTCGCCACCTTTTACTGCTCTATCCTCTCCAGTGGTCTGAACCTAGAGAACCTCCTTCCCTGCTCTGTTGGAACAAAGGCTCCTTGTTCCCAGGGTTCCAGGGTTCGCTGCAAAGCTCTGGAGGCCCCACCCCTCCCAGCCCTCACTCACACCATCAGCCCTGCTCTGTTGATGGGCAGTTGGGTATGTGAGACTGTTTCATCTGCTTCAGGGGAAAGGACGACTGTAGGGGGAAAGGAGACAAAGGCACGGGGCCCCACAGCCATGCGGAGCCCTTGAAGCCCCCCAAGGTCCCTGCCCAGAAGGCTGTCCCTTCAGTGGGCAGGACCTTAGCGACCCTGCTCCCTGGGTCACAGGAGGCTGGTTGGGAATCTCTCAAGAGTCCCTGATTCACTCTCCTGGGGCCTCCCCAGGAAGATCAACTAATTCCCAGAGCAAGACCATTCTCAGGACTGTGGCTCCCCTGGCTGGGTTGCCCAGGGGCCTCTGCTTCCCCAAGTTCTCCCCCAGAAGCCAAGGCCACACCACGTATGCACTGGTTCTTAAACAAGTGCTGAGTTCCCAGCAGGTCTAGGAAATGAGGCCAGTCTGGATTCTGGGGCCTGCAGGGTGACATGGGATGAGCTCCGGGAGGAAAGTCAAGTCCTCAACCTCCCTCTTCCCTTGGGCGTGGCCAGGGACTGGGGCTCCGGAGGGACTGCCATGGGGGTGGGGGGCAGCACAGCAGTATTAGGAAAGCTTCAGTGAGCATGAGAATGAGGGCCACAGGGAAATGAGGTTTGTCCTTCAGCGGGGAAAGGAGGTGCCTCATCCGTCATGGTGGACTCATTGAAATCAGTCTCCTCCAGGGAGGTCCATCTCAAGTGTACCCTGGAGCAGGGGCCGGTGTCTCTGAGGTGGTGCTGGCTTCACAGCTGATTGCGGTTCCGCTTGGGGATGATCTTCCGGTAGGTTCTGCGCTCTGAGATGTTGCGCTTCACCTTGGCTGTGGTGGGAGCCTCATCCTGGTGCAGGGACGGGCTTGAGTGGGACTTCTTCAGGCTGAGCTTGGGCTCCTGAGTGCCTCCAGCTTCCCTCCCCAGCTGCTCCTCCCACAGGTCCAGAGCATTGGAGGGGCAGTGCAGGCGGGCCACCAGCAGCTGCACGTAGGTCTCGTAGCGGGTTTTCTGCAACACACAGTCCCCACCACCTTAGCACCATCCTGGCTCCAGGCCGGGAGGAGGCCGGAATCGTGAGGGACAGCTCACAGGTACTTGAAGCTAAGGTGATACAGACCTCTGCAGAAAGAGGGCTGGACCAACAGTGAGTGTCAGTATCATGCTTGGGCAAGCAGACTGCAGAGCACACCTCTGGATAGTATTATAATGACACATATCAGCCCAGCCCTGTTCTAATAATAACCAACCCCTTGGAGTGCTGTAACTAACATCTCTATGCCACGTTCCATCTTTGAGGCACTAAAAGATGTGTCACCCACTATGCCTGAGAGCTTTGCAGCCCTACACACAAACAGCTCACATCTGTACAGCCCTAATTGGGTCTGAATAGCATTTTAACAATTGGCATCTGTGGAGCATGATGCTAACCACCCTCATCTGCTTAACACTGTACTACTAAGGCCCCTGCAGCTAGCATCCTTGGGATATGGTTTCCAGTTTACAAAGTGCTTCCTCACCCTCCATCCCATTGGATCCTCATGCCAGCCCTGGGAGGGGCACAAATCATTGTGGAAGGGAGGGCTGGTGGCTTGCTAAATGTCCTAGCTGGTCAGTGGGAGGAAGAGGTTGGGTCCTCACAGCCACACCCTGAAGCCTCTGAAAAGTGGGGAGTTCACAGCCATGGATACAACCACCAAGCTAAGGGATAGGCTGGGGCCTTGAAAGAGGCAGAAGGCTGCATGAGGGTGCCGTGGGGACAGGCAGGAGGCAATGTTGATTCCCACTTCCTGGTCTCTGCCTCTGGGTGGCCTCTGATTCCCTCTATTTTCACATTGCATTAACCTACGCTTCCTCCCCAGTGGGCCCTCACCCTAAGCAGGCACTCAGGACCCCTGAAGCAGGCACCCAGTGTTAGAATCCCGAATGAAGTGATGGGACACCAAAACAGAATTGGGGAGTGTGGGTGGATGGGTGAGGGTTGGGGGAGACTAGGGGATAAAACATTTCAACATGGGCTGTAGAGCCAACAAAAGTCATTGCTGGCCAGGGGCAGTGGATCACACCTGTAATCCCAGCACTTTGGGAGACTGAGGCAGGCAGACCACTCAAGGCCGGGAGTTCAAGTCCAGCTTTGCCAACATGGTGAAACCCTGTCTCTATTTAAAATACAAAAATTGGCCAGGGGGGGTGGCTCACACCTGTAATCCCAGCTACCTGAGAGGCTGAGGCAGGAGAATCGCTTGAACCTGGGAGGTGGAGGTTACAGGGAGCTGAGATTGAGCCACTGCACTCCAGCTTGGGCGACAGAGTGAGACTTTATCTCAAAACAAAACAAAACAAAACATAGACAAAAATCCATGGTCATTTCTTAGTCAAGACCATAAATGGGGCATTTGAAGCAGCATGTAAATTTACCAGGTTTGGACAAGTAGTTTAATTTCTCTGTGCCTCAGTTTCCTCATCTGTAAAATGAGAATAACAGTACCTACCCAGAGTTGTTAGATAATTGAATGAGATAATCCATGCAAGGAAGACAAGCTCCAGAAATACTACCTATTAATATTTGGCAGGTATTAGATGGAACAATTCAGCTGAAATACAGTTCATTCCTTCAACTTGGGAAAAGTCAAATATACTCTTAGGAGAAAGAAAACTATAAAATAACGTCTGCTATGAGTGTTTCCAGACAAGCAGCTGCTATGTGCCCCCAGGACAAGAGGTGAAAGGCCTAAGTGCATGGGGACACACACTCTTTGCGCACGTCCGTGCATGCGGGTGTCCCTGTGGGAGTCCCTGCCCCTTTGCACAGATCACACACGGGCCCCGCCTTCATGCAAGCGCCTCTCCCCGCCTCGGCGCGGTCAGGGCAGTGACGGCTGCAGGGACCGAGGCAGCCACGAGAGGGCGGAGAGGGTCCTGCGCAGCGGCGGGGAGGTGGGCTCGGACCCTCACCTCGTACTCCAGGTACTCCTTCCGCAGGCGGTACTCCTCCAGCTCGCGGCTGCGGCCCCGCCGCTCCGGTAAGTTCCTCTGAAGATCCAGCAGGTCGTCCGAGGCAGCGTCCAGGCAGTTCTCATGGGATCGATGCTGCTCCTCCTGCGAGCGGCAGGCCGTGAGGGACGCTGTCCCGGGCGTCCCCTCCGCCGCTTTCCGGGCCCGGGTGTGCTGCCCTCCTGGTCACCTCAGTTCCCAGGCCGGGTGCGCAGCCGGCCTCCAGCCTCCCCGAGCTAGTCCTGGGGCTCCAGGTGCACATTCCCAATTCAACTGTCCCCACCCCTTCCCGGAGGCCATACCAGGGAGCTCTGGGCGGGGCCCACCGGCAAGATGGGCCGCACGAATCTGCGCTGGGAGCCCACGGCGGCGGGGAAGGGCGGCGCGGAGTGTGTGGCCGCAGCCAAGTTGATGCGCGCGATCCAGGAGCTCATCTCCTTGGCAGTGCTGGGGCAAAGAAGGTCGTTGGTCCCCAGGGACACACAGTTGGTCCTGTCGCCCTCCGCCCGCACCCTCCTGTGGTTGGTTGCACAGCTGGCCAGCTGCTCAGGACTCAGCCTCCCATAGTTAGAGCCCTGCCACTAGCAGGGCACTCGACCTCTGACCATGGCATTTCTTATCAATAAAGAGGAAAATCTGGAGGCCGGGTGCTGTGGCTACGCCTTGGCAGGCGGATCACCTGAGGTCAGGAGTTCGAGACCAGCCTGGCCAACATGGTGAAACCCCGTCTCTGCTAAAAATACACAAATTAACCAGGCGCGGTGGCAAGCGCCTGTAATCCCAGCTACTCGGGAGGCTGAGGCATGGGAATCGCTTGAACCCAGGAGGCAGAGGTTGCAGTGAGCCGAGATCGAGTCACTGCACTCCAGCCTGGGCGAGAGAGCGAGACTCTGTCTCAAAAATAAAAAATAAAGAGGACAGTCTGAGAAGGCGACAGATTTTATAACAAATGCCAAACTTGGTCAATCGTTAGCAGCTTCCCAGAATCCTGTGTTCTGAACTGGGAGGCTTGATCCCACCGACAAGGAAACGGCATATTGTACTGGCAAAGTTGGCCAAGGATGGTGAGGAAGCAGGCAATGCCTGGGCGTCATCCCTGGTCCTCAGCTCCTCTTCCTGCTGCCACATTCTAAGAATTTCTGATCAGTATGGCCATTCCCACCAGGGGCCCCGGGGTCCACAGGCCTCAGGTGTCAGCAGGGTCAGTGGAGAGAGAACTAGGGCAAGGCAAGGCCTTGCCACAGTCTCCCACGCCAGGGACTTACGGTGCCTGGAAGAGGTAGAGGCGCCAGTCGGCCGTGCGCAGCTGGAAGACATGCGGCTTCTTGGTGTAATGGGTGGCAGGGGTGGCCAGCGAGTGGTGCACCCCGATGGGCTCGTCCACCATCTGCCCCACCAAGCTCTCCCCCTCCAGGCAGTGGTCTTCTCCCTGCTACCAGTCACAGGGGCTCAGACAAGAGGTTATCATCAGCTGCCCACCCTCCAGACAGTTCTGGGCCTCTCTCAGTCTCCCATTCCGACAGGGCTGTTGACTCCTTTCCTACCTTCAGGAAGTAGAGAACCATCCCTCGCAGTAAGGTGTGGAACATCTTCCAGCCACGCTTGCCCCATGGCGCTGTTCCAGGAACAGAACACAAATGTAGGTGGGGGCACCAGCATCCAGACACACTCAGACACACACAAGTGTGCATATGCCCCCGGCCCCTCATACCACCTCCAGTCTCTCACCAGGATGCACACAAATGCAGAACATGCCAACACAAGAAAACATATACAATCATAAACAAACATATAGAGTGTGTCCACACACAGGCAATCCCTCCTGTAAACGAAACCATAGAACCACTCACACCCAAATATGGATATTCATACAGATCATCCTCTCTCCAACTCCGAACACACACCCACTACCCCAAGTAGTGGCAAACACCCAGACACAAACACAACTCCACCCAGACAGCTTTCTAGTCCCTGCAGGATGATCTTGACCTTGCATACCCATCCAGAGGGGCTCAAGGGCTCAGGGCCCAGCTTTGGGGTGTCCTTCCCTGTGTACCCCACTCTGAGCACCACCTGCCCTCTTTTCCGCCTACCTCTCCACCCTGGTCTTGTGTGGTGAGCCCTAGGGCCCCGGCGGCTTCACAGCAAATGCTAATTCGCATCCTGGTCGCCCCACCCTGTTCAATCTGTGCTTGCACATGAGTCTGCTGAGATCACCGCTCTGGTCATGTTGGTACCCTAATCAAAAGCCTTCAGCTGCCTGCGGAATGAGGCCCAAACGCAGGCCCTGGCAATTCTGCCACAAGTGTACCTCCCTTGCACCCACCCCATGTTCTGAGCAAACTTGGCTTGCTGTTTTCTCTGTGTGGGATGCCCTCTGCCCAGCTTCCAAATTCCAGACCCTCTTCCTCTCGAAAGTTCAGTGCAGATACCATCACTTACCAGAAGCCTTACCTCTCCCTGTCCCACATCCCGCTTCCAAAGCAAAACCAAAAACCTTTTTCCCCTCACTTGATTCAGCCCCTAGACACTCAGCTCTTGCTACATTTTTGTCCCAGACACACTTGTCTAATCTCTCTCTTACCACAGGGACTCTGGGGTCCAGGAATAACTAGGCCTGTTTTGTCTGGGTTCTCCTACCTACCCTCTAGCGCCTCACACAGCTTCCAGCCCGTGGTCACTGTTCAGTACACATTGAGGAAGGAACATGGGCTGGCTGCCTGTCCTCAACACGGGCCATCTCTCTGCACACCTGTGCATGCATCCGCACAGGTACCTGAGCAGGGCCGCTCCCAGCACACCACCCTGTTTGTGGGCAGCAGACACTCACTCTTCTTGCCATCTGCATCTTGATGCATCTTCCGAGCCAGGATGCCCTGCTTGTAGGTGGGCACCGTGGGATCCTGAGCCAGCTGAAGGAGGGGGTTGCTCATCTTGCCAGCTGGCAGGGACGGCCGGGCCTTCTCAGGTTTGGCTGCGTCTTCTTCATCCCTGCACAACAGAGAATCGGGCTCGAAGTGCTGACTATGCAAAGACCACTAGGAGATATCCATTGCCTCCCAGAGCCTCAGCAACCTCTCTTTTCCTGGGGAGCCACACCCCAGGAACCCCCCAAAAGGACTCCTCCTTCAGAGCAGACCCATCAATTCCTGAAAACTCTGCCATACCCCACGTTCCACTACGACTGGCCTTCCAGCATTACTTGGGCTCCTCTATGCTCTCTCCCGAGCCCTGCCTCTGGCTTTGTCCCACTCAGAGGGGAGCCCTATCTGAGTTTCTCTAAATCTCGGGTGGGTGACAGGGGGAGGGCAGCCCAAAGACAGGGGAGAGGAGTGAGGAGGACAGGGGAAAGGGGGTCTCACTCACACGGCCCACTCGAGCTTCTCGCTGCGGATAGACCAGTAGAGGGCCTGGAACAGAAGCACACAGGTGGGCAGGGAAAACTCAGGACTGTGGAGCCTAAGGCCTCTTTGTCTGGCAGAGGTAGGATAGGGGCATGTGTACAGCCTGCCTCCTCCACCCACAACCTAGCTGCCCTTCCTCCTTGAGTAGGCAAGCATCCATCCATCTATCCATCCATCCATCCATTCATCCATCCATCCATCCATCCATCCATCCATCCATCCATCCATCTGTGCAGCAAAGTATTTCTGGAGCATTTCCCAGTGACAAGCACTATGCTGGGTGCTAGAGACATAAAGATGACCTGCTGGGGGTGGTGGCTCACGCCTGTAATCCCTGCACTTTGGGAGGCTGAGGCAGGTGGATCACCTGAAGTCAGAAGTTCGAGACCCGCCTGGCCAACATGATGAAACCCCATCTCTACTAAAAATACAAAAAGTTAGCTGGGAGTGGTGGCGCGCACCTGTAATCCCAGCCACTCAGGAGGCCTCAGCCTCAGCAAGAGAATTGCTTGAACCTGGGAGGCGGAGGTTGCAGTGAGCCAAGATCACACCACTGCACTCCAGCCTGGGCGACAGGACGAGATTCCATCTCAAAAAAAAAAAAAAAAAAAAAAAGATGATGACCAAGGCAGACAAGTCCCTGTCCTGCCCATGCTGAGTGAGGCCTTAACTAGTTCTCATGGAGGAGAAATGAATTGCCTTCCTGGCATCCTGCTGGGAGGGATCTGATGGAGAAGAAACCGGCTGACCAATCCCCACAATAAACGTGCAGTAAATGAATGAATGATGCGCTAAAAGTTTGACGTATTAACGTAGATGTTATCTCACTTGCTTTTATAGCCCTTGCAGTGCCTAGCAAGATGTCTGGCACATAGTAGGTGTTCAGTAAATGTTCATGAAGTACAGCTATGTACCATATAACAGCATCATGATGGTTCGGTCAAGGATGAACTGCATACATGATAGTAGTCCTGTAAGATTATGATGGAGCTGTCCTATACAGGTGTATCATTTTTAATCTTTTCTATCATATTTTTATTGTACATTTTCTATGTTTAGATACACAAGTACAGCACTGTGTTAGAATTGCCTGCAGTGTTAAGTACAGGAGCATGCCATACAGGTTTGTAGCAGGAGCAATAGGCTATCCCATATAGCCCTGGTGTGCAGTGGGCTGTACATCTAGGTTTGTGTAAGTTCACTCTGTAATGTTCACACAATAGTGAAATTGCCCAACGATGCATTTCTCAGAACATACCTTCATCAGTAAGTGATGCGTGACTGTGATGAAACAGCAAATGATTTTAATTGCTTATGACACACATGCTGTGTGCCAAGCACCGTGCTGAGCACTTGACAGATTTTATTTCATCTTGATAATGGCATTGTAAAGTGGTTAATACCCTCAGGAGGAACTTGAGTTGGCCAAGAGGGAGCAAATTGCCCAAGACTAGAATTCAAACCCAGGAACACCAGGCTCCCAAGTCTGAGCTCCAAACTTTCACCGTGTGTAGCTTTGCCCTTCTCAGACTTTGAAGGGATAAGAATTGAAAACTTAAGAAAATATTTTAGGGGTCCCAGTCTCAGAGAGTCTGATTCAGTAAGTCCAGCACAGGCAGCCAGCAGATTTGCATGGCTAACAAATTCCAAGATGCTTCTGATGCTGCCAGCCAGGGACCACACTTTTACTAGCCTGCAATAAATAAGCCCTGTTCTCTCAAGGATATTTTGGCAAAGCCAGTCTCAAGCTCAGCATCTCCCTTGGAACAAAGAACCAAGGCTGCAGGTCCTAAGTAGGGATCCCGGCTCCTGAGCCCGTAAGAAGATCCCATGGCACATACCTTCAGCAGCTCCTTGGGGAAGTTCCCGCCATCCCTCAGCCCGTTCAGGTTGGTTATGAATTCCTGGCAGCTCATGCTCTTCCCAATGTTCTGTATCCATGGAGACGTGGGATGACTTGAGCACACACTCCATCCCAATAGAATAACCCCCCAGCCAGCCACCATGGAACCCTTTCCAGCTCCCCAGACCCACATCCCTCAGGGGTGTTCCCCGCCCGGTCTCAGGCCTCTGGTCTTCTCCTCCCCGAACCCCTTGCCACAGCCCCGGCCTCAGTTCCCACAGGGACTCTCTCCACCGTCTTACCTGTCCGTGCAGGTCCGTGTTAAGGAGCATGATTGCACATGTCAAGGTGTGTACAGAATCTGCCCCAGAGATAGGTGAGTGGAAAGAAAGCTCACTGGAACCAGGGTTCCTGTTTCCTTTGCCCACACTGGGTGGGGTAACCTCAGAACCCCTGGAATGCTTCCCTTCTCCACAGCCCCCAACACACTCCCCCCAGTTCACTGTCACCTACTAAACTCCCAAGCAGACAAGGGCACCCCCAAGTGTCCCTGCTCTGCTGTCAGGGTCAGCCCCTCCCTACCTACTGAGGGGAAGACCCCCAGATTGCAGTGGTGGAAGCGTCTGGAGAACTGGTAGAGGATTCGCTCCCGTTCCTGAGTCTCCCCACTGAGCACCAAGGCCTGGAGGAAGCTCCTGAAAAGAAGGGCCAGGGTCAAGGAGAGAGCCCAGGAGCTTAGGGCCAATCAGATCCCGGCGTCAGGCTGGTGCCACTGCCCCATGCCATCCTCCACAGCCTCCCCAGAGAGGACCCAAAGACATTACCGGAGGGCTCGGTCCAGGCTCTGGCCTCCAAACTGGAAGAAGGACAAGTACTCCTCAGCCACAGCCCTGCTAAAGTCATTGCTGCAGAGGGAAAAGGGGCACGGAGTCTGCGCCAGGGGCCTGGGCTGGGGCCGCAGGTGCACTGGGGCCCTCAGGACCCGCACACATTATGGGGCCTGATGCGGTGGGGGTGAGCAAGGGAAGGGCGCAGGCACACTGGGCCTTGGGTCCTGACAGGACAAGGGGGCAGCCAGGGTCTGGTATGCCCTGCTACCCTATTCAGTGTACACTGGGCGACACCGGGAGAGACCTATGGACTCTGGTTGGCAAGGCAGCGAGGCCCAAGGACCAAGGGTGTGGAGAAGAGGTGACACAGTGTGACCATGACTGAGAGGAAGCAGCAGACACAGTGAAGGTACGGGGGGAAAGTTAGGAGGGGAGATGGGGAGGGAACAGGGATGGGAAGGGGAGGGTGGCCAGTGGAGGGAGCCCTTCAGCAGCTCTTCCCTGGCTGCCTCAGCCTCCAGCCTTCCCCAGGCTCAAAGCCCCTTACTTCTTCTGCAGGTAGGCAGCCACTTCAGACTTCCGGAAGCCCTCCAGGCGATAGAGGCGTGAGGCCAAGTTCCAGGCTACCTTGTTGTTCCTGATGCCATTAGCTAGCTTGTCTCCAGCTGGTGGTCTCTGGCCTTCCTCTGGGGACCGTGCTTGGGGCATAGGGCTTCCAGGAAGCCTAGAAGAGTTCATCGGTGTCCTCAGACTCTCACTTGAGATAGACATGCAGGAGCTCTGGGTCAAGTGTTCTTGCAGGACACTTGTGGCAAGAGTTCCCCGAGCTCAGTGCCTTGAATGGTGGGGCCCGGAGGAGCTGGACCCAGGCCCTCACTCAGGGAAGAGACAGAGTTGCAGCCAGACTGACTTAGCCTGGCCTGGGACCAGGAGAACCCCAAGAGGAAGGTATTCCTGCAAGGTCTCCAGGTCCGGGGCCCTGTGCTTCCTCAGGTAAAGCACAGCCATGTTCCGACCTTATCTCACCTCAGGCGGCAGGTGTGTCCCTGTGAGGACCCCAGCATTGTTTTCTCCAATGCAAGGCAAGTGGGATTGTCTCCCTCACCTGTCCCGCGGTCCTCCTATACCTCCTTGTCCCTTCCTCACCTCCCAACTCTGGCTCTAGCCTCCACTCCTAGATCTGGAGCCAAGAAAGCTGAAAGGATGGGCTGAGAACGGGAAGCTAGGTGGGCTCTAGTAATGGCAGCAGCTGGGGTAGTTCAGGAGGTGGTCCTCAGCCTCTCCCTTCCCCCACCTAGCAGCCTGGATGACTAGGAGACTCGGTGGTGACCTATGATCCAGTGTGAACAGACCCAGGTGACCCCCAGCAGACTCAGAACCTCCGAGACCGGCACTAAGACTCTCAGATGTCACTCAGTCCAATTTTTACCTGACTCTTCTGCTTCCCCCACAACGTAACAATCAGGTGTGGGGTATTCTAGTTATGTAAACATTCACTATCCAGTGATACAGTTAAGAAGTTGAACCAGTAAGCAGAATACATCATAATATGAAAACATTCCATGGGGCTGGGCACAGTACTCATGCCTGTAATCTTACAACTTCGGGAGGTCAAGGTAGGTGGATCACTTGAGGCCAGGAGTTCGAAGCCAGCCTGGCCATCATGTCAAAACCCCGTCTCTACTAAAACTACAAAAATTAGGCACGGTGGTGCATGCCTGTAGTCCCAGCTACTCGGGAGGCTGAGGCAGGAGAATCGCTTGAACCCAGGAGACAGAAATTCCAGTGAGCCGGTATTGCACCACTGCACTCCAGCCTGGGCGACAGAGCAAGATGCCGTCTCAAAGGAAAAAAAAGAAAAAGAAAACAATCCCTGATAAACAGACGTATAACATTAGAATTCACTTAAGCACCCTCGCTACCTAACACGGCTGGGTCAGGGTTAATGGGAGGGTTAACCCCACTCCCATTACGGGGTCCTTGGGTGATGGTGACAGAATGTCAATCACTGCCAGAAACCAAAGAATCATCATTTATATGCATCTGGAAACTAGGCTGCCCTGTGGAGAGGTTCATAGGCTTGGTAGCCAGAGAAGTTCCAGCCTCTGAAAAGGGAGGGTTCTTGATGCCAAAAATTAAAGTTCACCCAACCCAAAATAGAAGTAAGTAAATCTAACTAAAATGAGAACATACTTTCATAACAAATAATGAAAAGGTTTAATTGGAGCTTTATCTTGGTAAATGATACTAGACATTGTACAAATAAGTTTATTTAAATCTTATATTAAACACAATGCCTAAAATTTAATTTTCCCAGCACAAGTTTTCTGGCTAGATAAGATATCTTGTATTCATGCTTGATTTTCACAGGAAGATCATAAAGCCCGTTAAAAACAGTAACAGGCTGGGTGCAGTGGTTCATCCCTATAATCCCAGCACTTTGGAAGGCTGAGGTGGGAGCATTGCTTGAGCTCAAGAGTTGGAGACCAACCTTGTGGTCTACCTGGGCAGCAGGGCGAGGCCACATCTCCACCAAAAATAAAAATAAGTAAAAATTAGCTGGGTGTAGGGGTACACGCCTGTGGTCCCACTTACTTGGGAGGCTGAAATGGAAAGATCACTTGAGCCTGGGAGGCTGAGGATTCAGTGATTCATGATTGTACCTCACACTCCAGGCTGGGCAACAGAGTGAGATCCTGTCTCAAAAAATAATAATGATAAAAACAGCTATTTTGAAATACAATTCACATACCATCCAATTCACCCATTTAAAGTGTACAATTTACAGCCAACTGACCTTCAACAAAGTAAACAAAAACATAAAGTGGGGAAAGGACACACTTTTCAAAAAATGGTGTTGGGATAATTGGCTAGTCACAAGAAGGACACACTTTTTCAACAAATGGTGTTGGGTAATTAACTAGCCACAAGAAGGAGAATGACACTGGATCCTCATCTCTCACCTTATACAAAAATCAACTCAAGATGTATTAATGACTTACATCTAAGACCTGGAACTACAAAAATTCTAGAAGATAACGTTGGAAAAACCCTTCTAGACATTGGCTTAGGTAAGGTTTTCATGATCAAGAACCAAAAGCAAATGCAATAAAAACAAAGATAAATTGCCAGGACCTAATTAAACTGAAGAGTTTTTGCACGATAAAAGGAACAGTCAGTAGAGTAAACAGAAAACCCACAGAGTGGGAAAAAATCTTCACAATCTATATATCTGACAAAGGACTAATATCCAGAATCTACAATGAACTCAAACAAATCAACAAGAAAAAAACAAACAGTCCCATCAAGAAATGGGCTAGGGACATGAATAGACAATTCTCAAAAAGATATACAAATGGCCAATAAATATATGAAAAAATGCTCAGCATCACTAATGATCAGGGAAATGCAAATCAAAACCACAATGCAATACCACCTTACTCCTGCTAGAATGTCCATAATCAAAAAATCAAAAAATAGACGTTGGCATGGATGAGGTCAATAGGAAACACTTCTACACTGATGGTGGGAATATAAACTCATACAACCACTATGGAAAACAGTGTGGAGATTCCTTCAAGAACCAAAAATAGAATTACCATTTGATCCAGCAATCCCACTACTGGGTATCTACCCAGAGGAAAATAAGTCATTATAAGAAAAAGATACTTGCACACACATGTTTATAGCAGCACAATTCACAATAGCAAAATCGTGCAACCAACCAAAATGCCCATCAATCAACGAGTAGATAAAGAAACTGTGGTGTGTGTGTGTGTGTGTGTGTGTGTGTATACACACCCACAATTACATATCTACAATTATATATAATTGAATCATATATGATTGAATATACATATATAGATTGAATATATACATATATATATTATTGAATGCTACTCAGTCATAAAAAGGAATGAATGAATGGCATTCACAGAAACCTGAATGAGATTGGAGACTATTATTCTAAGTGAAGTAACTCAGGAATGGAAACCCAAACATCATGTGTTCTCACTTATAAGTGGGAGCTAACCTATGAGGATGCAAAAGCATAAGAATGACACAATGGACTTTGGGGACTGGGGGAAACAGCCGGAAGCGGGTGAGGGATAAAAGACTACAAATAGGGTGCAGTGTACACTGCTCTGGTGATGGGTGCATCCAAACCTCACAAATCACCATTAAAGAACTTACTCATGTAACCAAACACTAACTGTTCCCCAATAACCTAGGGAAATAAAAGTTATAAAAAAGAAAGAAAAGAAAATTCAAGTTAAAAAAATAAAATAAAATAATAAAGTGGGGTCGGGCACGGCAGCTCGAGCCTGTAATCCCAGCGCTTTCAGAGGCTGAGGCAAGTGGATTTGAGAGTTCAAGACCAGTCTGATCAAGAGTTCAAGACCAGCCTGGCCAACATGGTGAAACCCCCTCTCTACTAAAAGTACAAAAATTAGCCAGGCATGGTAGCACACGCCTGTAATCCTAGCTACTCAGGAGGCTGAGGCAGGAGAGTCGCTTGAACAGAGGTTCAGTGCAGAGGTTGCAGCGAGCCAAGATTGCACCATTGAACTTCAGCCTGGGCAGCAAGAGCAAAATTCTGTCCCAGAAATAAATAAATAAATAAATAAAGTGTATAATTTTATGATAATTTATATTTGCATACTTTTTTTTCAAAGTGCTCCCTCATCTATGTATTATTTTAGTAAGAATGCTAATTGACTAGGTCATTTTTAAAAGCATATTTTAGGGCTTTGTCAGTTGATTATCCAAGTAGTTCTCTTTAGATGTGACAATTGGTTCTTCATTTTTATTTCCGCCTCTTCCGTTGTTCACTGGACAGTCTGTTTTGGCTCCTCACTTGTCAGTGGCTTTCCCTGTGATTTGTGAGGTCTTTCAGCATCACTTTCATAGACCTCATGAAATCACATGTTTTTTGACAAGATTTGTAATTACACTTTTCTGTTAGCTTCTGTGGTGCTTCTCCTGCATTGTGGAGTGTTTATGAGCCTCAAGAGGCAGTGAGGAGTCACCAGCGAAGCCCCTGACCCATCTGTGTTAGGTGCAGAGGGTGCTTAAGTGAAGCCTAATGTTATGCGTCTGTTTATCAGGGAATATTTTCATATTATGATAATTCCTGCTTACCAGTTCAGCTTCCTCACTGTGTCACTTGGATAATGAATGTTTACATAACTAGAATACCCCACACCTGATTGTGACGTTGTGGGGGAAGCGGAAGAGTCAGGTAAAGATTGGACTGAGTGACATCTGAGAGTCTTAGTGCCGGTCTCGGAGGTTCTGAGTCTGCTGGGGGTCACCTGGGTCTGTTCACACTGGATCATAGGTCACCACCCAGTCTCCTAGTCATCCAGGCTGCTAGGTGGGGGAAGGGAGAGGCTGAGGACCACCTCCTGAACTACCCCAGCTGCTGCCATTACTAGAGCCCACCTAGCTTCCTGTTCTCAGCCGATCCTTTCAGCTTTCTTGGCTCCAGATCTAGGAGTGGAGGCTAGAGCCAGAGCTGGGAGGTGGGGAAGAGACAAGGAGGTATAGGAGGACCGCAGGACAGGTGAGGGAGACAATCCCAAGTGCCTTGCATTGGAGAAAACAACGCTGGGGTCCTCACAGGGACACACCTGCCGCCTGAGGTGAGAGAAACTCGGAACATGGCTGTGCTTTACCTGAGGAAGCACAGGGCCCCGGACCTGGAGACCTTGCAGGAATACCTTCCTCTTGGGGTTCTCCTGGTCCCAGGCCAGGCTAATTCAGTCTGGCTATGGCTCTATCTCTTCCCTGAGGCACTGGGTCCAGCTCCTTGAGGCCCCACCATTGAAGGCCCTGAGCTCAGGGCACCCTTGCAACAACTAACCTGCATGGACTGCACCATTATGTCCATGACATGAACCACTGCTGGCTCCTGCTAGTCCCATTAATATGACTCACATTCAGCCAATTAGAGAACAAAACCCCTTTTTCAGTGTAGAGATCCCAGGGGTTGACAGTCTTGAGGCAGCATTCTGGGACAAGTAGACATCTAGGATGGTTTCCCAGTTGGCCTATTCCTACCTCTGGTCACAGTTCTGGGGTCACACAATCCTATGTTGGGCCCCAGGATCCGTTCCCTTGGTCCCCATCAAACCTCCACTTGATGAGATCTGAGCCAGTGCCCCAGGCCTAGGTTCTTTGGTGAATGCCTCCCAGATACCTCCTCAAATTCACAGCTGTCCGTAATCCCCACATCACAAGCTCTGACCTTGTACTTCCCTGGCCTGCCAGCATGACTCCCATTTTTCTGGGCAGGCACACGCCCTTGCTCAGGTTCCCTGGACACTTCCTCCCCTTCCTCCTCTCCTGGTCTCCAACTGTGGATGCTTCTTTGAAAGCCCTGCCCCAGCACACTCAGATCTCGCCTCCACGTGTGTAACTATCTGCTGTTTTGTTTCTGATGCTTCTGAACCTTACGGTCTTTCTCAAAGCTCTTTCCTGGTGCCCACTCATATAATCCTTGCTTAATAAATGTGAGTATGCTTAATTCCAATGTGCGTTTCTCACGCTCTGTCCAGACTAGGATATTCCTAAATGTATCCATCATTAGGAGCATGACAGCCAGTTAGTCTGAGACTTACTGTTCTGCCGAAGTCAGGTGAATGTCAGGCTGGATGTCTCCAGTCTCTGCAGGCCTGGCTATTCCTTCACTCTTTACGTCCTCGCCTGGGTTTGGGGCCTCCCCTGCCTCCTTTTTCTTCAAGGACCTTGGCTCTTCCCCATCCGTCTCCAAGAGTGAAGAATGTGAAGCGTCTAGTGTCCACTTGGGCAAAATGCCTGAGCTGTGGTGTTGAAGCTGTGGGCTGCCCTCCTGAGACGATGCAGGGCTGGGCCTGGGACCAGGGCCTCTGCTCTCAGATTCTGGGCTGCTAGGCTCTGGAGAAGAAGCTGGGCTCCTCCAGGGGCTGGGGGCCAAGGTGGGAGCAGATTCCTGGAGGTGCCCAGCCTCTGTCTCATCTGAGGAAGAATGTGAAGTGAGGCGGGCACAGGGCAGGAGGCAGGAGAACAGCCTGGTCACCACCTCCAGAGGCTCCCTCCCTGGGGCTCCTCCCCCGGAGCCTGGCAGCATGCCCTGTCCCTCCCTCAGGCAGTGACCTCTCCCACTTGCAGAGGCAGCAGACAGCTGGGCTCCCAGGACTCCAGCCTCCAGGCAACTAAGGGCTCAGGACCTTTGCTAAACCACTAAGACCCAGAGGTAAGAAATGCTGGGCCTTTTGTACATTTCCTTCATTTACTTTCTAAAGAGGCAGGATTTAACCCCAAGTCTGTCTGGCTTAAACACAATACAATGGGACCCATTAATGGCAACCATGGATCCAAGAATGATCTTTGTCCCCACTGCAAATTCCAAAGCCTCCCAGGACCCAATTTCCCAAACCCCCTTATTAGGGCTCACCTCTGTCCTGGGAGTTAAGAGTCACCTGGGGCCAAAAAGGACCTCCTCCCTGCCAGCCCTCAGGGCTGGGAGAGGCCTGTTGAGAGAGGCAGAGGCATTCCCATGAGCCCTGGAGGCACAGAGAGGTGGATGGGGGAGAGGCCAGGTAGGGAGATGATGGGGAAAAGAGGGGAGGGGAAGGATGCCATGAGTAGGCAGAAGCCCCACCGTAATCCTCCCACCCAGGCTGGAGCCTCAGTTCAGAAGGCGAGTCCTGGATGTGAGAAGCCCCACATGCTAGGATTGTCGGTGCTAGGCCCTGGTACTGAATGGGCTCATATTCCTCCTCCAAAGATGGAGAAAGTGAGGCCCAAAAAGGGGAAGTGACTTGCCCAAGATTGCACAGGATGCGCAGCAGGGCCAAGATCAGATCCGATACATCCTGATTCCCAGGTCAATGCTTCGTCCACACACGGTGCTGCAGATGGAGCAGGACCAAGCCTATCTCCCTGAGAAGTCTAGAGAGAGACAGAGGAGAGAAGGAGAGAAGAGGTGACTAGAGGAAAATTGCTCCCAGGGCCTTCCTCAAATCCCATGAGGCCTCCCTTCACAGTCTGCCCAGATGGCCCTGCCTCAGGTGGTACCAACCCAAGGAGGGGCTGTGTTTTAGGGAGGGTGATAGCCCCAGGAACTGGGCTGGGTGGGCTCTGCCTTCCCAGACAGAAGCCAATCTCCAACTTATAGCGCTCCCAGGCTTCCCTCTGAGAAGTTAGTGCCCAGAGCAAGAAAGTCCATGGCGGGCGCAGTGGCTCATGACTGTAATCCCAGCACTCTGGGAGGCCCAGGCGGGTGGATCACCTGAGGTCAGGAGTTCGAGACCAGCCTGGTCAACATGGTGAAACCCTATCTCTACTAAAAATACAAAAATTAGCTGAGTGTGGTGGCACACACCTGTAATCCTAGCTACTTGGGAGCCTGAGGCAGGAGAATCGCTTGAACCTGGGAGGTGGAGGGTGAGCCGAGATGGCACCATTGCACTCCAGCCTGAGCAACATAGCAAGACTCCGTCTCAAAAAAATAAAGAAAAAAGAAAGTCCTGAGAAAATGGACCTCCACAGGCACAGCTCTAACTGCCCTACACTGCGGGCCTTGGCCCATGTGGAGGGGACTCCTATCAGTACCCAGGAGCTCCTCTGATCTTGGGGCTCCAGTGACAGAGTTGCCCTGGGTAATAGAGTTGCCCAGGCTAACAGAGTTGCTCTGGGTAATAGCTCTTCATTGTTCTCAGGGAATTGAGAGATTAGAAAATTACAGCCACACTCTACCATATTGAGTCTCCTTATCTCTTAAAGAGAGGCTTCCCTGGGAAAACTGTGCTCCCTGTTGTCTCACAGAGCATGTCCCCATCCTTAGTTGATATTAAGAATCTCTGCCATTGTCATATGGGCCTGATCTATTGACACTGGACGTGGGAAGAATGACAGACAGTGAGCTAAAAGTAACAACATGCTGAAATCTGTCAAGAAGAGAGAGGACAGACTTTTGAAATAGGCATCTCTCTGCTAGGGGCAGAGGTCACCCTTGCAGGCTGAGTGCTGCCCTGTTAACAGTTGGGAATGTCTTGGAGGTGGGAGGGGAAGAATCAGAATGGCCTGGAACATGCTGCAATTGGAGGAGCTGTTTGTTCTCCAAACGTATCTAAGCATAGCCCCTTGGAGCTGGTGAGATGGAGACATTTGTGGACTTAATTATCAGCTGACATCAGCTGACATCATGGCATTGATAAAATGTCCTATCATTCTGACGAAAACACTAGTCCTCATCCTGGCTAACACGGTGAAACCCCGTCTCTACTAAAATACAAAAAAAATTAGCCAGGCGAGGTGGCGGGCGCCTGTAGTCCCAGCTACTCGGGAGGCTGAGGCAGGAGAAGGGCGTGAACCCAGGAGGCGGAGCTTGCAGTGAGCTGAGATCCGGCCACTGCACTCCAGCCTGGGCAACAGAGCCAGACTCCGTCTCAAAAAAAAAAAAAAAAGAAAACACTGGTCCTGATTTTCTGCTCTATTACCCTGCTATATACTGATGCAGGTTATCCCAAAATCTCTTCGCATCAGAAAAGAATGTCCTGGGCCTGGTGACCCCCAAAGAAGACCCTCCCTTCTGTGTTCCCAGCACAGCCCCGGTTGGTTCCCAAGACTGGGCTTACCTCACTCTCCCCCTGACCAGGAGGTGCTGCAGGAGCCCCCTCAGCGGCAGCCACTGAGGCCCAGCAGATGGAGTGTGGTTTATAGACGGGCACAGGGAATGGAGGGGTACGATGCCCACTGGTAGCAGCACTGTCCCCCACATCCGGCTCACTTTCCAGTTCCCACAGCACCGTGTCTTCTGAGAGCTGAGTCTCCAGAGTGGCTGGGCTCTCAGCTCCAGTCCTCACACTTGCATGGGAGTCTGAAGCCCCCCAGGAAAAGCACTCTCCAGAAGCACTGTTCTCTGAGAAAGGACTCCCCAGGAAGAGCGGGTTGCTGAAGAACATGCTCTCCTCCTCGGCTACCCACTGTGGGGAAGAGTCTGGGGTTCCCTCTCTCAGACATGCCTGGCCCTCCCCCTCAGGCTCGCTGCTGTCTTCCCCTGAGTCTTCATCCTCAGGTGGGCTGGAGTGCAGGCCCGTGACCCCAGGGAGGTCCACAGGGGGTGTGGGGAGACAGCATTTCAGCCCAGCCTTGAGCCCTTCCGTCTTCTCCAGCTCCTCCTCCAGGTCTAGGACACACATCTGGGCCTGCAGGATGCCTGCCCAGAACACTACCTGCGTGGACGTGCTCCGGTTCTGCTGTGGGCTCCCCAGTAGATGGCTGTTCGCAGGTGACCCTGGTGATGCTGTGCTCTGCCTGTGCTCCCCCTGGGCAGAGCAGCTCCCCAGGTGTGTGAGCTCCACACCAGAGCCCCAGGGAGGAGCATCTTGTCTGGTAGATTCAGGAGAGTCAGTGGCCCAGGTTTGCTCCTCGCAAGGCTCCGGCCGGTCCTGATGGACCCAGCTCCCCAGGTGTGTGAGCTCCACACTGGAGCCCCAGGGAGGAGCATTTTGTCTGGTAGGTTCAGGAGCATCAGTGGCCCAGGTTTGCCCCTCGCAAGGCTCCGGTGGATCCTCATGGCTGCACGTTTCCCTTGGGCGCTCTCCTGGGTGGGGCTCCAGGCTGTCTCCCAAGTACGGGTTGAGAATTTCCACGGGCTGGGGTTGACCAGAGAGTCTGTGGTCACCCATCATCCATAGAGCAAAAGCTGTGCAGGAGTCCCCCGGAGTATCTGTTTTCACAGTCTCACTGTGTGGACTAGGGGGAGCGCCGGCCGCTGGGGTAACTGGGAATCCATGTCTACCCTGAAAATGCCCAAAGCAAGTGCAGGTTAGGGAAGGGCTCTCAGCCTCTGGAGGCACATATGTAGTGTGTTAGATGTGTTTGGAGTGTCTTCCCCATCTATGCCCTCTGCTAAGGGACACTGCCCGCCACAGCCCTGCTGGGAGGAAGGAGTGTACCACGTATTCTATCTGACCCCACAATCTCTAAACTTGCACCAGGGCAGCACCTGCCCCAAAGACACCCATCTGTTGGCTGAAGGTAGCCCATGTGGCTTAGCTGAAAAGAACAAACTGGCCAAATCAGATCCTTCTCTTGGGCATTTAGATTGGAGAGCATGGAGACCGAGGTGGTTGGCAGCAGGAACAGAAGGCAGAAATGCTTTTAGGTATCAAGGAAGCAGCTGCAACCCACATGCTTTGGTTTACACGCTGTAAACCAAAGCTGTAAACCAAAGCATGTGGGAGCCAAACAGACACAGACTGGAGGTAGAGAATGCAGCAGACTCACGGAAGAAGCAGGCACCCACGAAAGGAAGGCCACAGCCTGCCTTACTTCCACTTTCCAAGGCTCCTATCCTTGGGGCCTACCCTGTTCACGAGGCTGGTTCCCAGGCTGCTTCTTGGTCCTTGTAAGCTATTGACAGCTTGGAATTTGGCCCAGGTGGACGCAGCAAGGGGCTCTCTGCTCAACTCAGCCCAAGCCCTCATGAAGGGACGATGCTTCGGTCCTGCTGCCCACCACCCAGCAGACCACCTGCTGCATGGAGAACAGATCCCTGCCTTCTAGGGAGGAAGAGGCTGGGATGCGGCGGACGTGTCAGCCTGGAGTTGCCTCACATCTGCCCAGAGCTGCTGTCTGCACGGGCTGCACTAACTCTCTGGGTGGGCCCTTATCAGATGAGCCCAGGAACCTCGGAGTGTGTTTTCTAGAAACATGCATTTCATCTCCATTCCCTGCGTGCAGCCCACCGCTTGCATGGCTCTCAGAGCAACCCTGCTTCCTCAGAATAGCTGGCTTGTTTTGATCCAAAGCACACTGTAAGCTTGTAACTTGTTTGTCTCGTCGTGCTGGCTCTCCACACAGTGGAAGTGCAGGGTCAAGTACACAGGTCCATATGGTACATCATAAGAACCCTGGCTCAGCTGTCTTTTTTTTTTTTTTTTTTTTTTTTTTTTTGAGACAGAGTCTCGCTTTGTCACCCAGGCTGGAGTATAGCAGCACAATCTCGGCACACTGCAACCTCTGCCTCCTGGGTTCAAGCGATTCTCCTGCCTCAGCCTCCCGAGTAGCTAGAATTACAGGCGTCCACCACCATGCCCTGCTAATTTTTTTTTTTTTTTGTATTTCTAGTAGAGATGGGGTTTCACCATGTTAGCCAGGCTGGTCTCGAACTCCTGACCTCAAGTGATCTGCCCACTTTGGCCTCCCAAAGTGGTAGGATTACAGGTGTGAGCCACTGCACCCAGCAGCTGTCTTTTCTTATTTTCCCTTTGTCTCACTTTCTTCACTCACAGATTTCTATCTTGAAGCCTTGTGTGTGTGCTTGTGAGCTGTATTGGAATATTTTGGGGGAACAAGACTATTAGCAAACACATTCATGCTCCCAATTTAGAACCATGTGTTACTTCCAGATCCCCAAGAACAACAGCCCCTTCCACACACAGTTAACCAAGGCTGTCCTCACCCAGCACTCCCCCAACCTCGCACCTGAAAGATGAGCAGTCCCCTGCGTGTCCCTGTTTAACAGATGAGGAAGCCTTAGCCTGAGTCTGGCTTAATGACCCACAGTTGGTGACAGGGGCCGGACTCCGTCCCCAGACCATCCACCTGCCGGTCTGCAGCTCTCTTTGCCCTGTCCCTGCTCCAGTATGAACAGAGTGAACCCAGGTGTCCTCGTCCAGGGCTCCAGACCTCACACCGAGGTCCTGCCACAGGCAGGCTGTAGGACAGGAGCTTGACTGGCATGCAGGGCCCCAACCAGCGCACATAACAAATCCCATGGGGGTCGGCCCCTCCCAGCCCAGCACTAGAGAACATGAGCTGAATCAATAGCCACATGGACCGCAGCTCAAACCCTCGTCCTGCCACCTACAGTTGAGTGGATGAGCCTGGAAAGTTCCTTAGCATCTGGGAGCCCCACTGCAGAGGGGAGCTAGGGTTAATGGAGGTGATTCGCCCGGCCTTCAGCCCAGGCTTGGCCCACCGTTAGACACTCAGTAAACGGTAACCCTCAGCGCTCTCTCACAAGGTCAAGGGGTCCAGCTGTTATTCCAGGTCACCTAGAAAACATCGCTTTGCCCCATGCCTTCTTTCTGGAGGGCACCTGAGAGAAGGAAGGAGGACCAGTATGCATTTCAGTGTCTTATTCACCTTGAAAGTATCCTTTTTCTTAGAGTGTCTCCAAAAGGAATCTCTTTCTGGGTTTTTACCCCTCCCTCTGACCCAACCCCTGCATTCCTGTTTTAGAATAACAAGAATCTAGACTTGCTGGATGAAGGCCTCAGGATTCTGATGTTTCAGCCCACCCGGAGTGGCCCCTGACCGGCCTTCAGGGCCCTTCCACCCGTTAGTTATGGCAGCCTCCCCAACAGGCTGACTTCCCAAGAGGAGGGACCCTTTCTTATGTTTAATCTTGTACATGATGCTCTGAATCAAATGGACTGGATTTGATCTTGTCACAGGTGTTTGAACCAGAGCGGCTCCATCCTGAATAGGGGCTGGGTAAAATAAGGCTGAGACCTACTGGGCTGCATTCCCAGTAGGCTAGGCATTCTAAGTCACAGGATGAGATAAGAGGTCGACTCAAGATACGGGTGTCCTTGATTCAGCAGCCCAAGCTCCTGCTCTGCCTATGGAGTAACCATTCTTTCATTCCTTTACTTTCCTAATAAACTTGCCCTCATTTTATGGATTCACCTTGAATTCTTTCTTGCACAAGATCCAAGAACCCTCCCTTGGGGTCTGGATTGGGACCCCTTTCCACTAACAGTCTTGCCTTTCATTCTCCTATGGATCCAGCCTTCACTCATCATTCTAGGTTCTGCCTCTCCACCTCACATCACCACCTCCAGGTAACAGGCAGAGGATTTGCATGGTTTACTCCTTAAGTCGATACCACTATCTGCTCCCCAGGCAGCTGCCCTTGTCTACCCTCAGTGCTCTCTGGGCAAGAGGCCTGAGACAGTTCTATTTCCAAGGCAGAAGGGATGAGGAACCTCTGGATGTATTGTCTGTACTAGAGAAAACACTCTGGACCCCAAATCTCCCTCCTCAGACCTGCCTGGTGGAGAGCAACCGAGTGTGAGCATGGAGGTGACTCACCCCACCACATCCCACCACAGCCTCAAGAAACCAGCCCATGGGGTACAAGAAATGACTAGGAAGACATGTCGATTTAGAGATAGAGGGAAAAGCTGGGGAGAAGCACCTGGTTTACAGGTACCAGAACATGGGACATCCCTAGCTCTACCCAACTGCCTCCCTTCCCATACCCCAAAACCAGCCTCCAGGTCTCTGCAAAGGCCTGGTCTTTGGGCCCAAATAGCTCTCCTGCCATGCGCCACTCCTGATCCCTTCTCCTGTTCTCATTTACCCAACCCCACACATTGTACCTGAATCAGTGCCAGCCTCATGGCCCTGTGGGCATCAGAGCATTTTGCCCAGATAAAACCAACTCACTTTCTCTCATCATTAGTCAACTCACTTGGCAAGAAACGTTCCCATGCCAATATGGGAATGGGAGTGGGAATGCGGGACTGGGCCTGCTGGAAAGGGCATCCTGAATTTTTCATAAGATGAAAAATTGTCTCTCTTTGCACATATGCACTTGCAAATAGATATGTATATGTACATAAAGCAGCCCTCTAGGTACACGTTAATGCTGATGCTAGATGTAAATGAGGATTGGACTTGCCTTCCCAGAAAAAACCCAGTGTTCCTTGCTGGGTTTTTTCAAAGGAAAACAATAAATACCAGAGGCTGCAGCAGCTTTCCGAGCAAAGAGAAGAGAGCAGATCTCTGGGACCTGCAGCACCTGAGGAGCCTGGGAGGGGTGGGAGGTGAGGAACTGGTCAGTGGAGGGGAGCCCAAGGCAATGGAGACAAGAAGGGTGGAGACAGATCAGGTATTCGATGGGGACAAGGCATGTAGTTTGACTGGCTATGACTTTTTTTTTTTTTTTTAGATGGTA